TTTTTGCTAAAATTCCTACATGGATTTGTGAAACATCGACTAAAGATGAATTTTCAAAGATATGTTTGTGCGTACATATTATTCATACTTAGGTCTTTTCTAATTATAGATATGTCTTAATCAGAGATTCATTTATAGTACTTGCTAGTTATGGAGATCTAATAGTAATTTTTCAGTACTAAAAAATTCTATAAAAAGCCCAAGGAGGCCACTAAGCCTTGTTGGTTCAATATGGTGGGATCTCTACAACTACTACAAGTTTGGAGAAGGAAGATGTTCCATATATGTCAACACACACCTTGAGTCCCTTACCCCAGCATATGATAGGAAGAGTGTCAGGTTCAAATATATCATCCATAACACATTTTAAATACTATTTTGCAAAAATTAATACCAACAAAAATTGATAGTCCTATTACTTGCAAGTACAATGAGTCTCTTATCCATGGCTACTATCAAGTAATGTTTGATTCTATCAAAGATGAGTTTGGTGGGTTGTTTTTGAGCTAATTTTATTATCTTTCACTTGCATTCTACTATATGTACATTTATGTGTTTCTTCTCCTAACTTTCAACTTCTTTCATTTTTACAGGATATTTGTAAGTCATATGGTCATTGGATATGGATATGCTTTGCAAATTTGTACACCTCAAAAGCAACTATATGGGAGGCTAAGGTACCACTGATATGTTGGTGCTACTTTAAGTGATACTTAATGAATACAGTTACTTGACAATTTGCACAGGTGCCCAAAGTTGACTTGTAGCTGATAAAAAAAGATTTTCAGCATGTTGATGGTTGGGGAAGGGTGGAGCTGACTAGACAGACTATTACAAGTGCTACATTGAAATTTGGGAAAATAAGGAGGCTTATGTTGTTTTGTAGGATGACACAATCATATATTAAGAGATATCAATTGCATTATATATTTAGTGAAATCAGCCATGGGTCACATTGCGCTTGTTCAAAGCTCCTATAAATCCTCCAAACATGATTATGTATTATATTCTTTTGCACTGAAAATTTCTTGGTCAACTTTTTAATAGCTTCATAATTTAAATCTAATCTAATTTTGCAATATGATTTTATTATGGAGATAATGATTTTTTCTAGCCATTTTTTAATAGTCATGATGGAAATTTGAGGTAAGTAGCGATTGATTGTCTCGAGGAGCAATGTAGTAAGTAGCAATTGTTAGTCTCACGAAGCCATGTAATCCAATATGACAATTAGTCTACTTCTCATTTACATTATATAAAGAAAACATTATAATTGAAGATACAGAAGCTCCACCACCGACACATGTAGACCTTAATTATTTATTTATTTTACTTTCAGATCACTCATGTACATACCTCCACTCTCCCCTAAATCTTGACTTATCAGACACCACTACTATGCAATTTATAATGGAGAG